AGAATCTTATGTCACCGTAACTGCGCATTTTATCACAGATGAGTGGCAGCCAGCGTCTCATGTGCTCCAAACAAGAGTAGTGAACGAGAGCCTCACAGGTGCTAATATGGCTGAGCTGTTAAAGAGTGTTGCAGAGGAATGGCAGATCACTAAGAAAAAATTAGTTTTAGTTACTGGTAATGCACCCAACATGGCTGTTGCTGCTGAACTGGGTAAATTCGTACATGTGAAATGTTATGCCCACACACTAAACCTGGCCTCTCAGCGAGCGCTCAAGTTGCCCACTGTTTCAAGGCTACTAGGGAGAGTAAGACGAATTACTAAGTTTTTCCACCGTAGCCCCACTGCCAAACACCAGTTTGAAGAGAAGCAGAAGCTACTTGGTCTGCCTAGACACAAGCTGAAAACAGATGTGAGTACTAGGTGGAACAGTTCGTATGAGATGGTGAACAGGTTTCTGGAGCAACAGCCTGCAGTCTGCGCTGCCTTACTGTCTCCTCAGGTAAGGAAAGCAAAGTCTGACATCTGCACTCTCAGTAAAGCAGACATTTCAAATGCAGATGATATTATCAAGGCCCTAAAGCCCATGAAAGATGCAACTACTCTCTTGTCAGAGGAGGGCAGCCCCACTATCTGTATGATTGCTTCGTTGCAAGCTCAACTCATCCAGGACACTAAGGACAGTATTGGAGAGTCATCAATGGTCCGGGAGATAAAGCTGGCAATCAATGGGGACCTCAGCAAGAGATACATTAGTGAGCAGGAGAGAAACATTCTTTTGACAGCCTCTGCTCTGGACCCACGATTCAAGGGCCTTCCTTTCATTTCTGAGGAGGAGAGAGTGGAGACGTTTGGAAGAGTGACTGCTGAGGCTGCATCACTAGAGGTAATTCTGCCATTTTTCTTCATGTACAATGTCAGTATGGGCTTTTCATTATTCAACTTTAACATAAACATAATTATTTAACAACTGACCACACTGATAACAAATGTTCCACAACAATACAAGGTTTTTGATAATGACTAGAACAAGTAATTTTTGTTTTGTTAATAATTTTGTTCAAATGTGCTGAAGATATTGACACGGTGATTTAAAAATGTAAGGCTTTTGTGTTTACCTGTTCTTCTCATTGTGTTTACCTACAGCAAGAGGTAAGAGTAGAAGAGGAGGAGAACCCAGAGGACAACACTTTAAGGGAAGAAGGCACCCTGACCACTGAGGAGGAGGAGCACCAAAGCCCTGCTTCCAAAAGAAGGTCGCCATCATCATCTCTGCTAGAGAATCTGCTGGGGCAGACCTTTACTGATGCTAGAGTCCAGCAGCAGCCCATGTCTGCCTATGCCAGAGCTGAGGAGGAAGTGACCAAGTACTGCAGTGCTCCTTCACTCCCTCTCTCTGAGGACACTCTTAGCTGGTGGAGTAAAAATCAAGAGACATTTCCTCTGATTTCCAGGTTGGCCAAGAGATATTTGTGTATTCCCGGCACCAGTGTCTCTGCAGAGAGTCTTTTCTACAGCAGGAGATATAGTAACTGCACAGCGGCGCACACTTGCATCTGAACATGTAGACCAGCTCCTGTTCTTACACAAGAACTTGCACATTAGCACTCACTAGCTAAGCACATTTGCACTGCCATGCACTAGCATGATTTCTTTGTGGCCTTTTTGTATTTTTTGTATGAGAGCCGCTTTCTGTATTGTTTAGCTTTGACATCAGTAAACAGATTGGGAAGTAAACCCAGAGTCTTACGTAGTTTTACTGTACTGCCCTCCACAAAGTATATCAGTGCAGCCATTTACAAAAAGTAAAGACTCGAGATTTTGACTCTCCTTTCTGCAGATGTTTATTTAGTGCCCGAGATCTTTTTTGTATGAAAGCTGTTTTTGATAGTGGCATACAGCAATTTTTTTTTCTTTTCATTTTTTTTTTGTTTTAAATCTGAGGGGTTCTATGCTCAGGATTTTGTTAAAAGTCAGAAGTCTTGCACTCTTTTGTGTATAATGGCAGCTTTTTATGTTATTTATTCAGAATATGCTGATGTCCACAGGAATTATTTCTGTATGGCAGCTGCTGGTATAGAATTCTATAGTTTTGTACGATAGCGGTTTGTGATTTTGGTACAGCAAAATTTTTTTATTTATTTTTTATTTTTTGTCTGAGGGGTTCTATGCTCAGGATTTTGTTTGAAATCAGAAGTCTTGGACTCTTCCATTATTTATTTGAGTATAAGGGCAGCTTTTTATGTTGTTAGTTATTCAGAATATGCAAAAGTCCACAAGCATTATTTGTGTATGAGAGCTGCTGGTACAGAAATCTATATTTTTGTATGAAAGTTGTTTGTGATTTTGGTACAGCAAAATGTATTTTTTTCATTGCACATAACAGGAGGATGTTGGTTAGCAGTTGGATGCTATTTTATATGTTAGTGTTTCAGAATATGCTTAAGTCTGCATTCATTTACTACAAGTATGCTGCTACAGACACACTTTTCCAGTTGGTTGTTTGCAGTTATGGGATATATGCTGGCAAATGTAACGTTCTAGTTGACTTGCCACATTGTTTTATTTAATTTATTAATAAAAGATATTGGAAGTAAATTGATTATGGATCATTACAAATACTTTGCTTTAAAAGTACCAAGCTGTAGAATAAGAAATCCTGTAAAGAAAAAAAAGATGCATCAAGATGCATCGATAATCATTTTATAATCGCATCGCAGCCCTCTGAATCGTAATCGAATCGAATCATGAGGTGCCTAAAGATTCCCACCCCTAGTACTTATATACTTATAATATGTATTTTAGAAATACATTTAACAAATGCATTTTTGGCCATTTTCCTACATTGCAAAAACATTAGATAAATACATGGTATATTTTTTTTCCATATGGGTAAAGTCATAAAGTGTATAGTGCTACCACACTTAACCAGGTCACAGAGAGACCAGGAATGTGGGACATGGGGGTACTGAGGGTGCTGCAGCAATTTGATTTCAGGATAATAATAGTAAAATGTTCTGAACTAAATAATTATTTGAGTTTAGTAGACAATCAAACTGAAGCACTCTTATTTTGAGCATATTCTGTTTAAGATTGCTGTGCTGTTTTTCCTCATCTTTACACATCAGCTGTTCAATTTAACTTTCATATCGTCTTTATTTGCAACTGCCCGCTGTGGCAGTAACCTGTGTTTTTGGCTAAAATAATTATCAGGTTTAAGTTTGTACATCTTTACCTTTGTGTGTTTAACACTGTACATCCCATCCCAAGGGCGGCACGGTGGCGCAGTGGGTAGCACTGTCGCCTCCCAGCAAGAATGGCCTGGGTTCAATTCCCAGCCGGGCGACCGGGGTCATTTCTGTGTGGAGTTTGCATGTTCTCCCCGTGTCTGCGTGGGTTTCCTCTGGGTACTCCGGTTTCCTCCCACAGTCCAAAGACATGCAGTCAGGCCAATTGGACATGCTAAAATTGCCCCTAGGTGTGAGTGTGTGTGTGTGTGAATGTGTATGTCTGTCTGTCTGCCCTGCGATGGACTGGAGACCTGTCCAGGGTGTATCCTGCCTTCCGTCCAATGACAGCTGGGATAGGCTCCAGCACCCCACTGTGACCCAGAAGGATAAGTGGTTTAGATGATGTATGTATGTATGTATGTATGTATGTATGTATCCCATCCCAAACTTAGTTTTGTCCTCATCTCTGTGTAGAAGTTTTGTCTGTGCTGAGCAGAAGGTGCTGCAGTGTTAGCTTTCTGATTGGCTGCTATTGTTTTGTGTCAGGGCAGAAGTGTTGGAATATGTAGGATAATGACTGCACTGATGTTATGAACAGCCTATAGCCGGATGACACTGCAGAACATTAGCGCATTGTGTGTGTGTGTGTGTGTGTGTGGAGTATGAGCTGGTCTGCGTCATGTAACTCCCAGTCTGAAAACCTACTCTGGTCCTGGCCTTACTTAAGGGAAGCACTTGTTATGTTGTTCAGTATTGAAATCAACATTTTTTTGGTAGAGATTTCATTAATTTCCATCTCAAATTCTTGTGAAGGAAATCAAACATGTAAATGTGTTTGAGTGCTCATGACAAGCGGATTTTTGTGGATGATGCCTGCAGTTCTAGTATAAATCATTGTGTGCTTAGTTTGATGGATGTGTACCTCCAATCCTCAATAAAAGATATGTTTAAAAATGAAATAGAAATGATTTTTAAAGAAATACTTTTACTTTTTTACTTTAAGTATATTTATGTGCATGTACTTTTACACTTCTATTTGAGTACAAAATCTAAGTCATACTTCAACTGTTACATGAGTGTTTTTTCACTAGATTACTAGTACTTTTACTTAAGTAAGAGACGTCCCAGAGAGAGACTGTAAAAATCCAACAAACAAAATAAACTGCTACCTAAATGTCTGTAACAAGCTTTAACTGGAAATATATAGCCTTAATTTAAGTACTCTCGAAACACCTAATCCAACTTATAAACGGTTTAAAATTAGCTTTTGAGTTGAATCAGGTGTGTTGAGGTGGGGTTAGGGGGTCCACAGAGCTGGAGTTGGACCCACTGTTTATATTGGAGCAAACATGGCCACTGTGTGAATGAAGCTAAAAAGTAGTGACAACTTTTTGCCCAATGGTTACGTTTAATTTTTTTTTTCACCAAATATTTTAGAGAAGTAGAGAAAATACCCCAGGTCAAATACTAATACTGAAGATTGCCAAATACGCTTCAGAGAAAGGACTGCTGGGATATGTAGTTTTTTGTGAGATTTGGTTAAATGTAGGCATGAATGAAGTACTTTAAACTTGTGTTGCTATTTTCAACAAAAAGCCTCTAAGGGTTAAATTGGAAGGTTGAGATTCTGCTTTAGGCCATTTAAATAACACAGTAAAAGCTTTGTTTGAGTAATTACTGCATTTACCTTAAGCATTTCATCATGTTTTACCAATTTTTCCTTGCACAGATTAATAAACCCAACAAAAATAACTTGGAGTGATCGTTTACCTTCAGCAGCATGATGTTATTTTCTGGGTATTTCTGGTCATTTGTAAAGTTTGGGTGGCTGTAGTGCTCCATCACATGTATGCGCTCAGGGTCATTGTTCGTCAGATTATGAGCTCCTATCACTGCTGTGATATTTCTATTTACGCTGCCAAGAGGAATCAACAGGTAATACCTTATTGTTGTGTATTAAATGTGCTTATTATCTATTGAAATAATTAAATATTTAAACTGTGTTGAATTGAGATCTTTAAATAAAAAAAGTTTTATTAATAACAATGTATGACAATCATTATCTCACCAATTTAGTCGTCTCCAATTCCACCCGCTAGTTAGGACTCCCCCAGTCACACGATACTATCAACGCTAGGAGGGCGAAGGCTAACACAGGCTTCCTCCGAGACCTGTGAAGCGCCACCGCTTCTTTTCGAACTGCCGCTCACGCAACGTCATTGGACAGCTGAATCCGCTCGGAGGAAAGCGCCAACCGCCAGATCTGTTACATCAGTTAGCAGACACCTGCGCTGGCTAGCATCGCGTTAAGTGATGGGGGGAGAAGGAGGGGCCATCCTACCCACCCAGAGAGCGAGGCCAATTGTGCTCTCTTGGACTCCCGGCTACAGATGGCTGTAGCATCACCAGGGATTGTATTATATTTTAAAAATCACATGATATCAAACATAAGCCTGTCTGTACAGAACCCCTTAAACACTTCCTAATTAAATTACTGAATAATTTACTGAGTTATGGAGATTATTGTCTGAAAATAAAAGAAGTTAAAATGCACTGATATTAAGTGTATACCAGACTCTTTCCTACTTGAAGGGGAATTCCACCATCTTCATAAATTTTTTGCAGTTTGATGATTGAGATGCAAACAGTCATTCAGAGTGGTTTGATATAAAATGATGTTTTATAGAGAAATTTACCAACTCAAATTTCTTTACAGTGGTGGTGATAGGAACCAGGGGTCATATTGTCTACAACGCAACTAGAACCATTTTATTTACTATCCAGAATCTCCAGGGAGTGGGTCTTCTGAGTTTTTATATTGATGAAATACCGCTAAAACTGAAAAGGTGAGTTTTCTTTCGGGATAATTTTGCCCTGCCTGTGCTCGTCCACAGGCAGCAATTACAGGCCTGGGAACAACAGAGAGCTGCCCCCTCAATATATCATTGTAAACATAACTATATAATTCTAAAGAACTTGTGCTGATTATAGACGCCAAAATATTAGTTTAAGTTTTGAAAGACACTGCGTTCAGTACCATTACAGAGCGGCGGTTTAAGAAAGGTACTGTCCAAAATTATAGTATTTCAAGAATACTGCACCCAGAAAGTGGAATAGGGTTACATAATGGAGAAAACACAGCGATCAGCACTCATGTTTGCGATATTTATGTGTAGATATGGCCGTGTGGTTGGTGAAGCAAGGATAACTTGGTGTACTTGTTTCTTCTCTGGATTTATATTCAGCTTTTTTCTTTTAATAACCTATGCAGGGGATGGTAACTTGATGTGAAGTAATTGTATTCATTTATGTCATCATATATAACTCATCGGATCTCAGTACACGTGTACTTTTTTTTTTTATTGTTTTTGAATGGATCTTGACCACTCCAACTCCTTATTGGCTCAGACAGAGAACAACAGACAGCACGGCATCTGTGTATTTAAATCTATTACCCAAACACCCTTCGGTGTCCCCTCTAGGAATTGCTTCCTATAATATATAACATATTATATCCGCCCATGTGCTCCTCCACCACAAATGGATTTACAAATATGTACGTTTTAGCTAAAAAGCTTTTCTCAAAACTACTGTAAAACAGGCTTCAGGCAAAGTATTTAAAAAAATTCATGTAATAACTGTATGTGACAAGGCATACAACTCTTCAGACGTCTGAACAATTCTGTCTCACTTTCTGGAGAATGGAGCATTTTACACCAAACCACTCTGAATGACTTTGTTTACTTCTAAACCATTTAATTCTCCACAAAATGTAAAAGATCTGTAAAATTCGTCTTTAATGACTGTCGACCGAAGGCATAGCAAGCAAGACTTGCTCTTGATAGTGTCTGCATTAGAACACTGTGACAGTAACACAGAGAAAATGTAGAAGTTATTTGTTCCCAGTATTATTTCTAGTGCTGGATGACCTGTAGCCCTGCTTCATTACTCACTAATCAAAGACAAATCAAAGACAAATCATTGCTTACTTTAGAATGTTTGGTGAAGCCATTCACAACGCAACAAAGAAGCAACTAAAGACGGCAGCAAGATAAAGAACAGAAATGAAAAACTTACTCAGTTTGGCAATATGCAGCTGTCATGACGAATTGTTCACTCACAAGGAAGGCACCACAGAAGTGCTGAGTCCCTGCTTGGAGAGACACCATGTAGGGTCTGGAGTGAGGTTCAGCCTCTACACGATTCAGTACACCAACATTCACACTGGCTGGGAACAAGAAAGTAAATCCAAGCTGATTATATCTACAGTTATGCAAACATTAATGTTATAGATGTAGTGTATGTATCCACTGTGCCTCAGGGTACCTTTTGGGGTGGATGTTGTGTGCTCCACTGCGTGTGAACTTGGTGAACTGTGAATGTTTATGTACTGGGTAGAGCACCAGACGTCTCCTTGAAGGCCTCCTGAAATGTACACATTATATTATATGTGGTGATAGATTGTGTTTTAATGTGACGCATATGGTGTGAATCATATTAGGTTCAACACATCTGAGTCAAAAACTCTGATGACCCTTAAGGCCTTAATTGACTGTGTTGTATTTAGATTTTAATTAAACAGAACATCAGTGCCAGGTTTGTGCTCACCTGCTATAATAGACAGGAAAAGTTATGTGTAGGTAAGACTTACCAGAGTGGCCCAGCTGTGGCAGCAGAGCAGCCAGAAGGAGCAGAGAGATGAGAGCCATGGTGCTGTAGTGAGAGTGAAAGTTCCCCTCAGTAAGGGAGAAGATTATATGTAGCATGGTGGGTGAGATAAATTCACCACAAACGGTCCCTGTCCTTAGATCAAGCAGCAAGTGCTCCTCTTTAAAAACCCTGCTTTTTTCCTGTTTACCATAAAGTGGTTTATTTTCACAGAGATAATATCTGTAACAGACGGCATGTCTGATGTCAGCAAGCTGATGGATCTGACTCCCGGCCTGTTATTAGAAATGGCAAACAGTTTTGTCTGCATTGGAGGATCTGTTGCTAAGGTTAAAAATATCATAGCTTCTGGCAACGAAACATATATTGTATACAGTGAATTCTTACACTAAGGATCATTTTTTGCCTATCCACTGGCAACAAATACATTTGGCATAAATGTAGTTGATGGTTTGCAAAATTGGCTTTATAGAGAAGAAAGTCTGCTTGATAGCATATGAGAGCAAATTTGTTGCAGTTCCCCTATTGCACTGTGACTGAAGCGGCTGGACTTTGTTGTTTGTGTGTCTCCATATGTTTCGGGGGGGTTAGGGTGAACAGAATTATGTACCTCTTGGTAGAATTTATTCAAGAGGAAACAACCAGTCCATTACCCAAAGATTGAGTCAATGATAGCCTTGCATGATCGCCCTCATATGAGGACCAGTCCAAGTTCCTGAAAAGTGTCAGAAATAGAGGTTCGACAGGCAGAAGAAGGGTGGACGCAGCACCAGATCCGGGTTCTTTATGAATCAGGTAAGCTGAAAATGCAAAACATACACACTCTTAAAACTTGTTCTTAAGGCTAGACGTTAAAATATCAAAACAGGGTAAACATTCAAAGGCAACATGCGTCCTCTACACGACGCACCAGGTTTCAGCACTGTAGCTTATATGGTTTTTGAAATATCCTTTGGGGACTTGTGTCCCCCACGGAGGACAAAAATGAATTGCCAGGTCTCACAAGAATACATTACTATAGGTTATATAATTGACAAAAAAGTACTATGGTTATTATATTACTTAAATTAATCACTTGCTTCTAATTTTTCGGTAAAAATTGTTGCTTGTTTTATCTTGTGTATTCACTAGGCATTGTTAGAGGTTCATCTACAGTAAACCAAAACATTTCTGTTTTGTGTATTTGCTTTTGTGCATTGGCATGTTTTTTTTCTCCAAAAATGTCTGCTTATTGTGCTTCACAATTATAATCTGACTACATTATAAATGTTTTTGCTTTTTGTTTTGTTTAAGGGATTCTGCACTGGTGAAAATGAATGTATGCAAAACAAAGCATTATAATCATAATATACCCACATAAGCTCATGATGAAAACAGTTAAAAGTCTCCGTATAACTTCTTAGGTTACTACCACACATTCCAGAAAGGGCCCATGGTTAACATATAACAGGATAAAATCATGTATTTAAAATCATTAGCAAAACAGCAGTTTATCCAGTTTTGTATTTGTTTTCAGTGAAAAAATCCTCTAGTAGCCATACTAATTACTGCATACAATGCAATAGCCCTGACTCTACACACTGCCCTCTGCCATCTCGACAAAAAGAACACATGTGTGAGAATGCTGTTTGTGGACTACAGCTCAGCATTCAACACCATCGTGCCCTCAAGACTCGACATTAAGCTTCAGGATCTGGGTCTGAACAGTTCTCTGTGCAGCTGGATCCTGAACATTCTGACGGGCTGACGCCAGGTGGTAAGGATGGGCAACATCACCTCCTCCTCACTGACCCTTAACACTGGAGCTCCTCAGGGCTGTGTGCTCAGCCCTCTCTTGTACTCCCTGTACACCCACGACTGCTCAGCCAGACACAGCTCCAATGTCTTCATCAAGTTTGCAGATGACACCACAATTGTGGGCCTCATCTCCAATGACAACGAGGAGGCCTACAGAGAGGAGGTCAGTTTTCTGACACTCTGGTGCCAGGAGAACAACCTCTCTCTCAATCTCAAGAAGACCAAGGAGCTCATAGTGGATACCCCCATCACCATCAACGGAGCCACTGTAGAGAGGGTCAGCAGCTACCTCATCCACATTTCATCAGACTCACTCTGATCTTACTGCACCTTCAGTCTAGCAAATCTGCACATATAGATTGACATCTTGTACATCTTATATCCATATCTTGTATAATCTGGAAGATTTCTATATCAGAATTCTATCCCTGTGTTCCTGCATCTTATTTATTATCTACCCAAGACTAGCTGCACATACGGAAATGTGTACAACAGTACATTTCATGTTTTTTTCATAACTTATTACTGTACAGCTGTACATTGGAATAGTGCAATACTAGTGTATATTATGCATATACTTCAGGGACATACATAACTGTTTTGATTCCACAGACCGCTTAAGTATAATTTTTCAGACATTTTTGTTGTCTCTAATTTAAAATAAAATGTCTGAAAAATTACATTCTAAACCACTTAAACAGACCTTCAACTAACATGTCAGATTTAGCCTGTATTTCAGTGGCCTCTCCACTCAAGAATTTTTTGCCCAGCGTGGTTTAAAATTTGTCCAAAAATTTTGTGAAAAATTTATTTATTCATGTGAAAAACATAATACTCTTTAACCCAAGGCATGTGGTCTGTGGAATGGCCAGCTGTGTATGTCCTTAAAGATGTACACACAAAGACTGCAGTCAATGACCTGTCACAGAGATGAAGGCTTTTTTCATTCATTTACTCTTTTTGTTTATTGAACCAAAATCAACATCGTTCTGAATTATGTTGCTTATTAAGAAGAAACATAAACATTTTGCATGTTCTGCAATAAATGAGTGCTGCATACTCAGGGCCACATCTGGGCCGAGGACCAAGGTGGGTACTCAGCCATAACTGTGTGCCATATATGGGCCAGATCTGGCCCACACCTTTTAAATACAGTCACATTACAGTGTATGAGCCAGACCTGGACTACAGCTGTTAAACATGCACACTTTACAGTATATGGGCCAGATCTGGGCCAGATTCCTCAGTTTCAGTTACTTACTTTACACATCTATTAGTTCTTCTTATTTTACAGTATATGGGCCAGATCTGGACCAGAACACAACTAAGGATGTGTCCCACAAGTGGGCCAGATCATTTTTACTAACTGGGCAGACAGATGAGAAGATTTTTACCAGTTAAAAAAAAAATTAAAGTAATTGATCGTTATTTCCTTGAATTCTTGTACATCCAAATTTAATAAAATGAATGTGTTTTTAAAGAGGAGAGAAAAAAGCTGAAGGAGCAGTCCTGATTGAGGTTAGTGATCAAGAAGAAGGTGAGGGAGTTGTATAAGCATTGGGTTAAAATTATTCCTGAATTTCATTTAACTGAGAAAATGTAATAATGTAATATAATAATATATAATATATTTGTCCCCACAACCATGAAATTCTGTCACCTAGCTTATTCAACATGCCTACAGAGTCAGCAAACTCATGCTCTTTCTGATTATACCAACTGAGACTGAACTGATCTGCAATCTGTGTGTTTATATAATATATTTAGGACCTTGCAGCATATCCTTTCATCATTTTCCATGGTTGGCAGAGCTAAAGGCTTTACAGTAGCCACCCAAACACATGTTGGCTTCTTTGGCTTTTTCAGTTATCTCGTGCATCTCTCTTGTCCTTTTGTCAAAAGACAATGGGCAAAGTAAAAAAAAAGAACAAAAAAACAAAATAAACAAAAAACCCCCAGAAAATACAGTATAGTATAACATCAATGCACCAATATCTACAGCATTGAATATAAGATTTTATAAATGCATAGGAGGATATTTTGGGGTAATTTAACGTTGGTCTAGAAATGATTTTGATACTCAACATCATGCAGTGCAAAATAGGACAAAAATATGCAGAGAAACAGATGGACAACAGTCTGTAGAACTACAAAGTGCACCTATGTGTTAAGGGTTGCTGAACAAATGGACAAATAGTGTAGAAACAAGGGGGTGTACTTCGTTCCATGTTTAAATGTGTTCTCTGTAGAGGATGTGATACTTATTTTCACTTTAATTTAACAGAGCAAGTTATTTAAGCAGGGATGTTCAAACTTTTGCACTTCATGAAGTACACCATATGCTAATAGAAGCAGGACTGGAGGAAGAAATATCATTAACCTATATGTGGATGACATAACAATCACGATCGAAAATCTACCGATGATGTGCATGTAGAATTGTAGGACAAGAACAAGGATGAAGAAGAAAAATAAGAAAAAGAACATTTCTTTAAATGTAGCAATGTGTCTCTATAAGACAAAGATCAGAACTGTCCAGGCTCTGGTCTTTTCAGTGGTTCTTTATGAAAGTCAAACCCAGGCAATAAAAAAGCTGCAAAAAATACTGATGACTTTCAACTTTGGTGTTGGTGAAGACTTTGAATGTCACACAAATGGATCCTTCACCAATTCATATCTCACCTCTCACTGGAAGCCCAGCTAACCAAACTTAAGCTCTCATATTTTGGAAGGACCATTTTATCGAAAAAGACAATTATGCTTGGAACAATTGAAGGCAAAAGAGTTGGAGGACAGTCACCAACAAGATGGATGGATAAAATCAGACGAATCATGAACCAGCCATTAAGAAGTCTGAAGACCCAAACAGTAGACTGGATATTTGGAACAACACTATTGATAAGGTTGTCAGTAGTCATAGTAGAATTGACTTGTTATGAATAATAGTAGTAGTAATAATAATAATAATAATAATAATAATAAAATTGTGTCAGACTGATGTAATCCTTTTTACTGAATGTGACTAAAGAAACTAGAGTAAAATTGAAAGTCTGTGCTAATTCACTTGTGTTTTACTTAAAATTGTGACCACTGACTTATAACAGTTAACTTGCGAGTTTGACTTATGACAGTTATGATGTATATGAGAGGTTGTGTGAGGAAGGAAGCACAAAAATGCTGAGGGAGTACAACATTTTCTTTAGAAGGAAATGTGCCTGATTACTTGTAAAGCAAGGTCTTGCAACATGTCACTGTGGTCTTAAATTTTAGTTTCAATTTCGTACATTACTTTTAGTGTTATTAGTGAAGTACTCACTCCATAACAGCTCCTCCAACAACCTTAATCCAGGGCAGAATTGTGTGTGATTTTGGAAACTGGATTGTTGAGCACTGATGTTGATGCGATCAGGCCTAGACCAAGTTGAATAAAACACTAAGTTGAATTTTTCCCTGAAATCCTCATGTACCCTTATATTTCTCTTAATTCTCTTAAGAGAATTTTCTCTTAAGTAGTCCCTCAAGCTACAAAGTTGGAAGCCCACAGTTCTGTAGAGTGTCATTGCATGTTGTAGCATTAAGATTTCCCTTTATTTGAACTAAGGTTTGGAGTCCAAACTATGAAAAATAGTCACAAACAATTATTCCTCCCTAACCAAACTTCACAGTTGGCACTGAACTGATGTTGCTCCTAGATGTTTGTCTGTGTATGTATGTATCTGGCTCCACCTAGTGCTCGTAATGTCATTTGCAAGTATTCAGCGTGCCCGTCCATCCATCTATCCATCCATCCATCTAAACCGCTTATCCTTCTGGGTCACGGTGGGGTGCTGGAGCCTATCCCAGCTGTCATTGAGCGGAAGGCAGGATACACCCTGGACAGGTCACCAGTCCATCGCAGGGCAGACAGACAGACATACACACTCACACCTAGGGGCAATTCAGCACGTCCATGTGGCCTGATTGCATGTTTTTGGACTGTGGGAGGAAACCCACGCAGACACGGGGAGAACATGCAAACTCCGCACAGAAACAACCCTGGTCACTCGGCCGGGAATCAAACCCAGGCCCTTCTTGCTGTGAGGCGAAGAACTTTTTCTTTTCATCATCCATGGCACAAAATACCATTAAAAGATTTAGACAATCTGGAGAAATCTCTGTATGCATGGGCCAGAAACCAGTATTTGCTGGCTATGATCTTTGGGCCCTCAGGCGACACTGCGTTGAAAACTGACATGAAATTTGAAATATTTTGGAGATCATGGACACTGTGTCCGCTGGGTTACTGACCACTCAGCTTGTTATCAGTACACAGTTCTAAAGCCAGTATTGATAGTATAGAGGTGCATTAGTGCACACGGCATGGGTGACATGCACATCTGTGAAGGCACCATTAATGCTAAACGATATATCCATGTTTTGGCAACATATGCTGCCATCCAGACTTTTTGAGGGAAGGCCTTGATTACTCCAGCAAGATACTGCCAAACCACATTCTGCATGTATTACAACAGTGTGGCTCTGTATTAAAAGAGTCTGGGCTGAACTGGCCTGCCTGTCACCTGTTGAAAACATTTGGTGCATTATGAAATAAAAAATATGTCAAAAAAGACCCTGAACTTGAGTTGAGCAGCTGAAATCCTATATCAAACAAGAATGGGAAACATTTTACGTTCAAAACTGCAGCAATTGGTCTCTTCAGGTCCCAAACAGAGTGTTGTTAAAAGAAGAGGTGATGCAGCACAGTGGTAAACATGCCCTTGTCCAAACTTTTTTGAAATGTGTTTTTGGCATCAAATTCGAAATGGGCATTTATTAAAATTCTCAATTTCAATATTTGATATGTTGTCTTTGTAGTGTTTTCCTTTGAAAATATGGTTTACATGATTTGCATATCATCGCATTCTATTTTTATGTACATTCTTCACAGTGTCCCAACCTTTTTGGAAATGGGGTTGTACTTGATGATGATTGTTTTTCAGTGTATTTTTAAATTTAATCTACACTGTGAAGTCAAAAGTATGTGGACATCTCTCCTAATTATTGAGTTGTTCAGGTATATAAAATCGAGCACATAATGATGCAATCTCCAAGCATTGTCAGTAGAATTGGTCATACTGAAGCGCTCAGTGTCTTCAAGTATGGTCATAGAATGCTGCCTTTGCCTCCATTAATGAAATTTCTACCCTGTCAGATCTGCCACAGTCAACTGTAAGTGCTATTATTTTAAAATGGAAGCATCTAGGAGCAGCTCAGACCATACAAACTCAGAGTCCTGAAGCAGTAAGTACTGAAATTGTCTATCCTCTGTTGCATCACTTAGAGTGATGAGAGAACTACAGAGGTCCTAATTAACCTCTTGGAACCCCTGAATGTCTCAAAATCAAAATTCTGGGGGGTCCCATAAAATAACTTTATTATAAAGTTATGCTATACGTTTGGGAAAAACATGTTCAAATACGAACTTAGGGAAAGCTCATTGTTTAGCTGCTTCACTTACAATTGCTGAGCTTTTGTCTTTGATATTCTTGCCTAACTTGGGATACAGCACTGCTTTGCCTCAGGGTGACACTGTAGCAAATTGGTTCATCCGATTGGTCCTTCATAGCCTAGAGAATGGAACTATGCCCAAGATTACTCTGAAACACTTTACATTATTTCATAGCATATTTGTAAATCTGAAAACATGTCCTATTTTGCAAAAGAATGGTGGAAAGACTGAATTGTTACTCATTTCTTAAACCGAATACAAAACAGCAGATGTGTAAGATCTCAGTCAATGTGTGGAAGAGTGAACTACCAAACTAGAAAAGCACATTTCCAAAAGAAGAATTGTTAAACCAGCCATTAAAGCTAACATCAGTGGCGCTATGGCATGTGAGTTAGCAGCCAGCCAACATGGGACCCCCCCCCAAATACCAGGGGGAATTTAGCATGCTGATGTTAACGCTACAGCATGCAAAGAGATTTTAGAAAATTGTATACTTCCAACTTTGTGGTAACAGTGGGGAACTTTCCTGTTCCAGCATGACTGTGCCCCTCTGCATAAAGCAAGATCCATAAAGACGTGGTTTGATGAGTTTGGTATGGAGGAGCTCCAGTGGCCTGCTCTGAGCCCTGTCCTCAACCTCACTACACACCTTTGGGATGGGCTGGAATGTTGATTGTGAGCCTCACAAATGCAGGCTGACCTCACAAATGCTGGATGAGCACAAATTTCCACAGACACACTCTTAAAATCTTGTGGAAAGGCTTCACAAAGGAGTGGAGGCCGTTATAACCTCAAGGGGGGCATATTAATGCCCATGGTTTTGGAATGGGATGTCCAACAAACTCATATAGGTGCAAGGCTCAGGTGGCCACATACTTTTGGCCACATAGTGTATGTATGAGTTGCCAGCTTAAAAACCACATATCAACACTCATTGATCATTTTAGTGAAATTACAATATACAATTTATCAGGCCCCCTCTACCAAATTCATCATTGGGAAATGACCACTATAGGACCACTGCTGACCTGTTGTTATTTGGGTGGTGGAGCGTGGTGGAGGTCGTGCTGAGGCATCAGAAACTGTGGTGATGCTGGAATCTTCAACTCAGATAACAAATTCTGATGAAGTATTTTGTGATGCAAGTGAAGTACTGACCTCAAACAAGATGCTGATGTTGATATTGATTTCACCCATAGATACTAAAACTCTTGTGAAAGTGGCTTTACACATCACTGTAAACCTGAGGGAAAGATGTTCTTTCAGCAGATTTCCCCAGCAAGACCAACATTGCAGATATAAATCCAGATATGGGACCTGCAGCAAAATGCAAGTAACAGTACAATAAAGGTAGAAATGCATAAGTAACAACCAAAGGAGAAATATTTATATAAAAAGCCAGTAAAAATTTATTTTTTAACTATTGCTTGATAACAGCTTACACCAGGAGTAGACAAATATTAAAATTTGCACGGGCCACCAAGCCAATGAATCTTAAGGCCAGAATTCAAGCTGGCAATGTCAAATAATGTCAGAATTAAATGAAATTGAATTACCATCAAATGTACTTAAAAAGAAATCGGTGTATATTTCAGCACCACTAGAAGCTCGCTCCGTGCCCTGGACCAATCACAGTCAGGTTGAGGTCTCAGAACTAATGATGTTTGAAAAGCTTTACAATTACAAAATATAATGTAGGTGTAGTGTCAATAGGTGTTTACACAACAAAACACAGGTGATGTTTTTTAATTAACTTTAATAGATAACAAGTACATTGACTTTTTTCTCCAGAAATAAAACATTTAGTTATAATAATTACAAACAGCTCATTTGTGCACAAACTGGTTTTTCTGTGCCAGCGCTTATGGCTTCTGCCATTTTTCATCCTAACCGCAACAGCGCTGACAGGACTGTGGGAAGTGTAAGGCAGTGAATCATACATCTACACTGCCTTCAAAATACATTCAAATGGAGGAACCTCTGCATTTAGCAGTGTTAATAGTTTATTTAAGGTGGAAAAAAGGCAGGACGATGGTCTGTACTCTTATTTTTTGTTGTATAATACTGTGTGTGCCTGGATGTGTGTGACTGATCATGTTCATCAAGGTCCCCAAATAATCAGCATCTGGTTTATTCCATTGCTTTGGCTGACAGCAAAAGAAAGCAAAAGAAGGGAAAATGTAGCTGTTGGTGGATCGTTCCACTGACCGCTGCGGTACGCTGCCCTTGCTGCCAGGGGTGGCAGAATTTTTGATCGCTACTTCACTGAAAACACTGGAATGTCCAGTTTGCCATCAACTACCCTCAGAATGTAAGCGCAGCATTAGCTTGGATGTATTGTTCTGTAAACTTTAAAACTTTCCTCCAAACTCTCACATCTTATTCACAACAATCGTTCTTTTAAGAGTCACTCATTGAAAGGGCCTTGGGGAACCATTTCAGGCATCACCCCAAAAACCCTTTTCGAGAGTGTAGTGACTTCGCCTGCAGGCCTTCTCTTTGAAAGAAGCATTCCAGTTATTCACAAAGTTTATGGCTGGTTTTATATGCTGAAATTTCCATGCAATGTTAATTGCTTGAAATTCACATGAAACTAAATTGCATTTAAATTGCATGATGTAAAGTGTCCTGAAACTCCCTTGAAACTCAGCTGAAACAGTTGCAAGCACCTTGACTTTGTGAAACAAGTTTCATGAAACGGCTAATCAAAGCGGCAGTAGGCCTTGATGTGATCACATTGAACAACATAATTTCAAACAGTTGATGTCATCAGATCAATGGCTTTGGCTAAAACACAAGTACCAGGAAAATGTAAAGTAAAACTGTAGCTTCTATCAGGAGCAACGTCCAGATTTACTTCATGACAATTCCTGATCAAATAATTCAGTATGTTACAAAACAGTTTTCAGTTTTAGAGCAAATATAGTTCAATTGGAAACAACTTGGTTTTCTTCATTTTTTGTCTTTCACAACGATTCAAAATGATCATATTTCTGTGAAATTTCTTATGTGACCTGTGTGTCATGACTGGCATCAGACCAAGGGACATGTGGTCGTTACTGTTCAGATTGAAACCTCTGCAGTGATGAGCTGTACAGATAGAGTTCTATCAGTTTGCATTCTCAGTGATTCATTTTACTTTAATGAAATTCACATGAAATAGACCAAGTACCATGTTTACTTGCAACTAGCTCAAAATAGAGACTTAAGAGGATTAGTATGTTTAATATGTTAAGTCCATTAAAACATGTATTTGATGTACACACACAATTTACTTTTTATAGGCCTTGGTAAAACATTTTATCAAAAGCATCTTTACGCTTTTTTGTGGATTATACAAATAATTGCATTCAGTTTAACTACAGCCTCTAGTGAAATGGGTCTGTGCTTCTTTTGCATTTGGCCCAGCTCAAGGCCAAACCTGATGACATTCTTTGCTGATAGACATCAGTTTTGAAACATTTACTGGTGCATTACCAGAATGAGCTTTTGGCCCTGATACTGAACAGTGTACATTTGATGCTTAATTAGAGAACGGGCACAATAACACACCCAAGTATACAGCGTTTCTTTGAATAAACACCTCACAAGTTCCAGCTTATGAAAAAAAACTTGATTTTTTTTGCATTTTTTTTCAGTGTTGTTTTTGAAAAGATCTTTTTGATTATTTTAAAGTAAAGTTGAAAGATTTAAATTTATGATGAGTTGAATTTTCAAACATAAAAACTTCTATAACTTCTGCGTCTATAGGCGGAGTGTTATTTTAGCCACACCCCTGCATTTTAGAGCAGGAAGTGAGACTGCATCCCTGTCCCTCATGACCACATGGTGAGCAGTTAGATCCCATTGTTTTGAAGTGAATGTGTCAGTGTGTAGCATTAAGAATTGTCACGACCGAAACACATACTTTCTGCTAAGTTTTTTTTTTAGAGTTTTATGAAAAACATGATGAATTTATGTGTGTACAGGTGTTTAAAGCTGTGTTTGCTAGTCATGTACTGGCTAGCGTTTTTGAGTTCTGCTCAAAATGAGCTCAAATTGTCAGTACCGAAACAGTCACTACTGAAACATTTGGTTTTGGTAGTGCTGTGATTGTTTCAGTAGTAACAAAATGGAATGTTCATTGATTCATTTTAATAAAATAAACAGAATTAAAGCATGAGGTCATTCAAAGCAAAAGACTTTTAGTCTAAAGTCCGAGTCGGTTACAAGTCTAAAATGAATTTTGAACTCTGACCTTGAACCAATTTAGTAGTTTGAAATAACACTATCCAAACATTTATTTGGCAACAACAAAATAGTGAAGGCTAATTTTTTTACTAGGATCTTTTTCTTAATAATTTAATTTAGTTGTTTACTTGCTTTTGTTATGTTTTAAACAAGTTGAAGTTCTCGTGGCATGACACTCCACCCACAAACATCATTAACCAAAATATTCATGTTATGTATTTAAAATGCAATAAATATTTAGCATAATTAGCTGTCTGAGCTCCCTAAGTCAGTAGTTGTGGTACTGTCCAGGGAATCAGCCATTTTCTAGAGTCTCTCATTGTTAAGATAATTTCCGTGCACTGAAACTTTTATTCCCTGAAAGTTCCCAAAATGCAGCATAAAAACCAGTGAGCATCGACTGTTCACTCCCTGTTCAGCTCAATTTTCTTAAAGTTTCGAAAATCAGACAAACACTGTATGTTACCTCACTTGCAAAATCTAATAGACAGACACTCATCGCCTCCAAGACCAAATGAAATGCTGTTTCTGAATGATCCTGTATTCATGTCCGAAATGTTTTTTGTACATGTATCATTCTAGAAGGTCCCTCTTGTGAAATGTAGAAAGGAAAATAGTACATATTTATTAGTATATACACAAAGTTACTTGCATTGCATTGATTGTGAAGGATTTGTTTAAAAAAGGTTATCATGGATGAGATGCATAATGAATAAGAGCGTGAAAATCAGACATCAGGGCCGTCTGTGCTGTGATGGTGGAAGCTAACTTGTGAAATGTGTTGTAAAGAATTTGTGTCAGTATCTATATAAGGAAATTAATATAGGATTTATCAATGCAAATCAAGTGCCTTATTTTTAATAAAAATTAAATTCTGGTAATGTCCTAATTATATTAAAACACATAAGATGTAACAGGGGTAGGTGTGGTAGGTAGTGGATGATGCTGTGTTACTTATATCAGTAAAGATCGGGAGTTTTCTTTCCACACTTGGTTCATTTTCAACCTTTTATGTTTTATCATTTCACATGTGTAACAAGACAGGATTTACTCTCTAGAAAGTAACACATGAAAGTAACATAAAACTTGTATAGCCAGTCAGAAGCTTCTTTACAGTGGAATTATTTGTTGTGAATCATGAACGACAGTTTTAAGGTCAAGTCAGCCCCGATGAACCCCTCACGATACTGATTATTTCATTTTACCCATTATTTCTTTGATCCAGGGCAGGAATCCAGAAATCTTGGTGTAGCCATATGGTGTTGGGGGAGTTACACAGTTCTTGACATAGAAGGACATGATTCCGACTGCAGTATTATTACACACCAAAGGACCTCCAGAGTCTCCCTGCAACAAACAGGTACAATCTTAGCACACTGCTGAACTGACCTTTATAAAGCTACCGCTTAAAAGTACAAACGCTAAATGTAAAACACTGAACACTGAATGTAAAAGTGCATTCAACAGATTTCACAAGCAAAAAGCTTTGCCTTATTTATCAAAAAAACAGGTTAAGAATCTTAAGAAAAACTTTACCGTGCAAAATCCCCCATGATGAGTGTCTGTACACAGTATGTTATTGAATTTCCACCAATGTTTGCATTTCTTGCTGCTTAACATCGTGACTTTTGCCTCCAAAAGAACATCACTAACAGATCCATTGTTTTCTGTGCGTCCCCAACCAGCTATACTGCAAGTGGTGTCTTGCTCAATGTCTTGGTCTTTTTTTGGGATGGAAATCCAGTCAGCATTTTCGCTGCGTACAACTGGCTTGGCTAGCTGCAACAAAATCATCAGGATTATTAGCAAATGCAGTAAACAGAACTGAATATGATCAATAACAGAACTGAATATGGTTCAATCAGATTGTTACACTGCAGAGCTTTTTTCAGAACCGTCCCAGAATCGTCCCGAAAAATATCGCCAGTCACGCCAAAGTTTACCTTGACCATCAAAAATATTAAATGTTTTTTGCTTACATTACATTTTTTTCCTGGAAGTATCATAGTACTACCATTTTACGGACTCCAAAAAATGACAAATGTCAGATATTAGTGCACAAAATATAAATTTTAAGCAGTTGTTTTGGGATTTCACCCCCCGGATTTTTTTTCTTTAAAGGCAGTTGCTACCTTTTTATTTAATATAAAGATTTACACATCAATGAAATGTGCAGCGATGTTGCATAGGAATTTCTTCTTAGCTATAGAAATTTCAAGAAAGCAAATTAAAAACAGTTTCTGCATTAAACATTTTTGGTGGGCATGGACATCTGGGACCAAATGGCTTAATCATGATTTTATAACTGTTTTACTGACATTACGTTATAAGTTAATGCAAGTTAATTGTCCCTTAAGCATCATTGCATAATTTAAGTATCTGTCTCAAAACACCTAATTGAACTTATGAAAGGTTTATAATTAGCTTTTGAGTTGGATCTGGTGTGTTGAGGGGGGGTTCGGGGGTCCACAGAGCTGCAGTTGGGCCCACTGTCTATAATGGAGTAAACAGGGCCGCTGTGTCAACAAAGTTAGTAGTGACAACTTTTTGCTCAGTGGTTGCATTTTTTAAACATTCAATAAAATGCCTCATATATATATATATATATATATATATATATATACAGTTTTATTTACAAGTTATCATTTTTTAAATTTAATTTAATTTTAATTTAATTTTTAGAGAAGTAGAGAAAATATCACAGATCAAACACTAAAAAACGAAACCACTATGCTATAGTCCCCCCAGAGAGGGGACTGCTGGGATATGTAGTTTTTGGGACCTTTAGTGAGACATACTCACGAATGAAATGCTTTAAACTTTTGTTGCCATTTTCAACAGAAGGTTTCTGAGGGTTAAAGTGGAAGGTTGAGGTTCTGCTTTAGTCCATTTAAAAACTTCAGCAAAAGCTTTGTTTGAGTAATTACTGCATTTACCTTAAACATTTCACCATGTTTTACCAGTTTTGCCTTGCACAGATTAATAAACTCAAACAGAAAAATTTTGGAGTGATTGTTTACCTTCAGCAGCATGATGTCATTTGCTGGGTTTTTTGGGTCATTGGTAAAGTGTGGGTGGCTGTATTTCTCCGTCACTTGTATGCGCTGAAAGATGTTGGTCTTCAGAATATGAGCACCTATCACTGCTGTCACATCTGTCCATTTTTTTACTCTGTTAAGAGGAACCAACAGGTAACACCTTATTGTTGTGCATTAAATGTGCTTATTATATATTGAAATAATTCAGTATTTAAGCTGTGTTAAGTTTTGCATACCCAGCCATCACCATGTCTTGAGATGTCTTAAGACATGTCTAAAGACACATTATGAAGACGTCTTAGGACATCTTGAGGCATGTCTTAAGACATGAAGACATGTCTTTAAGACGTGTCTATAGACACGGATCTTAAGATGTCTTGGCAATAATAACATCTCAAGACGTCTCAAGATGTAGGATGTATAATACGTATTTTTAAATTTTACCTACATTTTTTAAAATAAATCTTTTACTTTTAAATATTTTAAGGGAATTTTAAAATGTAACATTATTTATAGTTAAAATTATAGTAATTATTTTTTTGTTCATTTTTTTGTTCTATGTAGGATGCATAATGGTATCATTTATTTTAATATATTGCATATTATTTTATAAACATACAAACATTACATACATTAGTACATACTACATTTATACATTTCAGAACAAATTTAACAAGTAATAATAATAATAATAGGCACATGGTTCCCAGTCTGTAGCTTTCTCTACAATAAGCCATTTTATATGAAACCACTAAATGATTTTGTTTACATCGCAATGACAGAATTATGCCAAGTTTAGAAAAATGTGGAATTCTCCTTTAAATGTTTCTGTTGCATTAGAAAAGTTTATGGAATCAGTGATATGATGAAAGTTTATTTGTGAGTTCATACCATGCCTTCAACATGGTGGTAGTATGAGGGAAGACTCTTATGCAACTATTTTGTAATACAGTGTTGCAGCAAAATTAAAAAATTTAATTCAGTGCTTTTAAATACCTTTTTATAGTAATTAACCCTTAATGTTTTAACAATGTGGTAAAATGTGTTAAATACATTTTTTACAGACTATTTTACAGTTGCTTCATTTTTTAATGAAGGTATCATTTTATCAACTTTTAAAATAATAATAATAATAAGGAGAACAAGAACAATAATAAGTATGCATAAATTACAGTAAAGTAATTTAAAGGGGTATGGAAAATCACTATTTTACAGTTTTGTATTTCCTTGTTAATCTGTTAAAAATTCAGAATACTTCTACATTCAAATAATTTACTCTGCAATCCAAAGCATAGCCCATGAAAAAGCACCCACATAGCTTTCAAAAAATATAATTACAGTTATTGTTTATTGTTTTTACAACTGTGTATATGCACAGTACAATAGCGTCATCACACTTGATATGTTCTACAGAAAGAGAAAAACATGTTAACTGACTTTGTGTAGAAATTTGAAATATACTGCAATAAATACACAGTTCCACAAACCAATGAATCTGATTTTAAGGTCTGCTGTTATTCCGTATATAAGTTATGCTGAGGTTATTAACAATATAGTACTATGAACAATTATAAATGATAGGAAACAATTTTAAGACAAATTAATATGGACTAAAAAGAAAAACTGACCAACAGAGTAATACAGAGGTCTGAACCCCAGCAGTACTCATAACATACCTGAGCCAGATAATGATCAGCTGTCAAACAATTAATACCAGACTCAGATGTGCTGGTAGCTGGAACAGAGTCAAGCTGTGGACATATGTGGACACAGGAAACAGGACACAGATAACGTCCATGCCGTAATGCCTGAACACTAACATTACTGATATCGCACTGCTAATGTTACCGATCTCTCCTTTCAGAGTTAAATCCGTGATGAGTGAGAGAACTGTCAGATTCACAGCCCATCGCTTCTTCCTCTGTTTTTTGTGTTACTCTTCTTTGTCAGAGATATGAGGAAAATGCATCTGTTAAAAAATCAATTTTAAGACAATAAATTTGAAATTACTTTTGGATCTGCATACACAAGCAGGCTGAATTTAAAGGGGACCTGTTATGCTAATTTCCAATGTTCATAAATTTATTTTTGGGGTCGACTATAATACATTTACATGCTTCAGTGTTCCAGAAACATTATTTTTCTCATACTGTAAATGTTTACTCACCCTCTGTCTGAAACGCTCTGTTAGAGCTCCAGTGTCTTTAAGCCCCTCCTTCCTGATGAGCCCAGTATGCTCAGATTAGTTAGCTCGCTCACTTGGCTCTGACTGATCAAGCACCAGAGCGGTTCCGCCAATACACGGGCTCCGGTAGATGCGTTGCGTTGTGTGAGGGCGTGCCAAGCTCGCTGGTAGGTGGGCAATAAGAATTGTGTTACGGGATTACATCATCTTGTAACAAAGGAAAAGGGCTGGGGAACTCCAGGCCTCAGGCAGCTGAGAAAAGTGGTTTCTGTGGGAAAGAGTTTCTCCCTCTGGCATATACTTTCAGCTTTGTATCTTACATGCACAAAAAGCTACATAACACAGTAAATAAAAGGGAAAGCATTATATATTCCCTTTATAAGTAGAATATAATGTACAGTATACATAATTTTACTCATCTAAAATCAACTCAGGCATTGAGTACACAAAGAAATGTGACAAGGCTTTAAATAATACCTATGCATGAACTCCAGTGTGGCACCCAGCTCACACGCATAGCTGATGTTCAGACAATGATGTTCAGTGTAATGAAAGAAGCATCAGGATGAGGCCACTTGCTTAAGAGCACAGTTGAGTGTTGAGAATGATATGGACTGCCACCATACTGGATGAGGCCCAAAGAGAGGATGTTCCTTGGGAAGGATTGAAAACAACAAAGTTGATTAGATAATTCACAATTCTATTGTTTTCATCCTCTAACATGCCAAAGTCAACACGTGACAGAAATGATCATTTGCTATTGAGGCAGGTGTGAGCTTAGTACTGATATCTGTATCTGTTAAAAGCTGTGTTAAAGGAGAATTACATGATTTTTAAGCACAATTTCATCATTAAGATGCAAAAAAATAGTTTGATACAAAATGTTCCACTGTGGAAAAACTTACAGAGTCAGAGTTGTTCATAGTGGCAGTGACAAGAACCAGGCGTTTGAAGAGTTCAATGCCTCTAATCTCTCACAGAGAATTATTACATGAAATGATTATTAATAAGAGCTAAACTCTATTAGATCGTGTTTACCACATGCTTTATGCTATAAATTGTAGGGCTCTGAGACTTGCAGTATTACACATTAAAGCACTGTGAAGAAGTAAATTCATAAATATTGACACAGTGTTGGTGATATTGCCATATCGATATTTTGAACACAGCTGTAAAGGCAAATAACATATTAATAAATTGAATGAACAAAGCGCAGATATTTGAATATTTGAAAACCCGGCTTTACCTAAACATTCTGCTCTTCTGTATTACCATAAATACTTCATGAATTATATTTGTTTGAAATACCCACCAAATCTAAACATCTGTCTGACATTCTTATAGTTTAATTTAAAAAATTAAAACTTGAGTCTCACCAGTTGCTCAGCTTCAGATGATTTCTGATGAGAAACATCTAAAACAAAACAGACACATGAGGTAAATGCAGCAAAACAACAGTAAGGCATAACAATGAAAAACACAAAACAAACTGGTCATTATATATTACTAATAAATGTAGCCGAGTAAAACAGATTATTAATCTAAAGCACAGATAATACATTTTAAAAATACTCTAGAAAGTACAAATCCACCAAGACGTTACTAGAGTAAATGTAACTGAGCAAATTAAAATTATTACTACCCTCTCTGAACCACACAGACTGACGGACTATGTTCAGTTTCATTGTTGTATTGTTCAGTGTGCTGACCCTGCTGCGCTGTGATCAGTGCGCTGACCCTGCTGCGCTGTTGATCAGTGCGCTGACCCTTCTGCACTGTTGATCAGTGCGCTGACCCTGCTGCGCTGTGATCAGTGCGCTGACACTGCTGCGCTGTGTTCAGTCTTAGGTTTATTTCTGAGGCAGTCTTTCATTTGGAGCGCGTGCTAAGCGAGATCTGACGCAGCCGCGAGGCGTAAACAGACACGCCGCTTAGCCGCTAGCTAGCTAACTACATACGCTAACCTACCGCTGGTGTCTTCACTCGGCAGATCAACCCAGAAATACAGAAACAAAAGTGTACTCCAGCTGACTGTCAGTGAGGCTGCTCATCTCATTTTGTCACTACTCACCTTTTAAAAGCAGACTCTGACCGCTGACCGTTAGTCAGCTACGCAGCTGAAAATCCTCGTTTCTGGGAGGCGGCGCTGTCTTAGTAAGGAGTGTAAGAGAGTCTTATCAGGTTTAACACTCGCTAAACAAACTCGATAAACTGCCCGCGGTAGCGACCTGAGAGACCCGCTCACTGTAACGGCTGTAACGGCCGCGTTTGGCTTTAAACGGAGGAACGGCGGAGAGCGCTCGCGCTTCAAAACCGAACGTCCAAGCGGCGGAGTCCCGCGCTCTGATTGGTCTAAACTCCCGCCAGTCTTTTGTTTGTCCTCCCATAGATCTTTTTTTTTCTGGCTCGCACGGCTCTGCTGTACTGAATGAACTGTGCTGTTTTGTTTTTGTTTGTTTTTTTAATCTAGACACAGAATAAAAAACTGCAAACCCTTGAAATACATAAGACAGCTGTGCAGCATTATCATACAGCATCACTGGAGACCATGTCTTAATATATTAAAGTCGAAGTATGAAGTTGGACATTTAAACAAAAATCTGTTTATTATGTAATTTTACGTGGTGAAACAATATAGCTCTTTATATATTACTACTCAAATACATTTGTTTATTATTGTTCGTGTTTTCCAAATACTGGAGATAATAATTTTGAAAGTTATACAAATTGAAAGTCTAACTTTGGGCAGCCCTGATCTGCTTAAGAAAATAAACAGAAGTGTAGATGTTGAAGAGAGTGAACCAAGTGCTTTTTTTTTGCATTAAGTTTTGGTGGTATGAGATCTCTAAAGTACTCAGGTTAGCTGTTAAGTACATTTACTTCCTATTAGCTCAAAGTTGTTTTATCTTGGTTCCTAGCTTGTTGTTTCTGGTTACAGTTGTACATTTGAAAATAGATCAATGTTGTTTTAATCATAGCATGTTTTCTGCAAATGAGCAAAAGGTTGTGACTGACTGTGATTATCTCCTTTGGTAAATGTTACAAATTAAAAGTTATTCTACCATGAACTTCAATGATATAAGGAAATGAGTTTAAACATTTTAAAGTAAGGTAAATGGTTTAAGAATTGTTTTTTTCTTTTGCTATTTTGCCACTGTAAACACATTTCTGAAAAAAAAAAGAATCACAAAAGTACAGCAAGTAAAACCTTAGTGAATGTTCTTTTAGTAATATCACACAAAAACCATAAGATTACAGCAGGCTGTTTCTTGAGGACATACTTATATTCTCTCTTATATAGTTATATTCTCATTATATTGTACATTAGGCAGTGCTGTGGTAATCCTGGTAATCCTCAGTAGTAATTTTCAGTTTGGCAGTATCACAGGAATACCACACTCATACCACAGGACCTTTTGTAATGGACCACTCTTTGGTCTCAACTGAACTGTCTTAAGACACAACATCTCTATGTCTTAAGACAAAGTGATGTCTTAAGTCATGCCTCGTCTTCAAGACACACAAAATAATCACTTACCTAACTTACTTAACTTTCATGTCTCAAGACAAAGACAGTGTCTTCACTCATACGTCTTAAGACGTTCTTGAGACGTCTTGGCATAAAAAAATGTCTCAAGACATCTTATAAATACTGTCAAGACATCTTAAGACATCTTAATACACAGTGACAGCTGAGTATGTGATGTCTTTGAATAAAAAAAAAGTGTGTTGAATTATGAATACTAATGTATGGCAATCATCATATTTCAAAAAATCACATGATATCAAACCTAAGCCTGTCTGTACAGATTTAAAAATATTTTAAAGGTCTGAACCCCTTATACCCTTACTAATTAAATTACTGAATAATTTACTGAGTTACAGAGATGCATATCTGAAAATTAAGATGGTATAAAGCACTGATATTAACAGTGTTTACAAAACTCTCCTCTGCTTGAAGGGGAATTCCACCTTCTTCATACAGTTTTTTACAGTTTAACGGTTGAGGTGGTGCCCACCTTTCCAGGGAAGAACAGAGACCTGCCCCCCACAATATATCATCGTAAACATAACTACATAATTCTAAAGAACTTGTGCTCATTATAGACACAAAACTATTCGTTTTTAAGTTCTGAAAGATCATCACCCCCTTCATATGCCTCACAGTGGTCCACTGCCTCTCATCCCTGAACCATAGATGTACACACATAGATGCTGCTATGGGTTCAGCCAGGCACGTCAACGGCGCCGCCATTTTGGAGTGGTCAACATCGCTGCCCAACTGTGTTCAGTACAATAACAGAGTGTGTCCCCTCCAGAAATTGCTCTTGAATTTTTTTTCTATTTATTGTCCCCCAACAGTGAAGTAAAATATCCGCCCATGTGCTCCTCCACCATTAATGGATTTACAAATATGTAAATTTTAGCTAAAAAGCTTTTCTCAAAACTACTGTAAAACAGGCTTCAGGCAAAGTATTTTTTTAAATTTTCATGTAATAACTGTATGTGACAAGGCAACTCTTCAGACGTCTGAACAATTCTGACTCACTTTCTCTACAACAGAGTATTTTACACCAAACTACTCTGAATGACTTTGTTTACATCTAAACCATTTAATTCTCCACAAAATGGGAAAGATCTGTGGAATTTCTCTTAAATGACTGTCGGCCTAAAGCATAGCATGCATTTCTTTTATTCTCTCGATAGACATTAGACACTGTGACAGTAATGGTAAAAATGTAGAAGTTATTTGTTCCCAGTATTATTTCTAGTGCTGGATGACCTGTAGCCCTGCTTCATTACTCACTAATCAAAGACAAATCATTGCTTACTTTAGAATGTTTGGTGAAGCCATTCACAATGCAACAAAGAACCAACTAAAGACGGCAGAAAGATAAAGAACGAAATGAAAAGCTTACTGATTTTGGCAGTGCGCAGCCGTCATGACGAATTGTTCACTCACAAGGAAGCCACCACAGAAGTGCTGAGTCCCTGCTTGGAGAGACACCATGTAGGGTCTGGAGTGAGGTTCAGCCTCTGTGCCATTCACTATACCAACATTCACGCTGGCTGGGAACAAGAAAGTAAATCCAAGCTGATCATACTTAGTTATCCAAACATTGTTATAGACTAACTTTGCTACTATATTTTTCATAAATAGGTGACTATTGATATTTGGGCATTTTTGAATCTTAAAGGGAAGAAACTCTCAAATCACACATTTCCAAGTCTCAACTGTTTAACTGTATTGACTGCTAACAAGACTTTAATGTGAACACACTTGCATTACTTTTTGTGATATATTGTACACTTTTTTACATTTAAAACGAATAATTAAGTTATTGTAACAAAAATAATTTGGTCCTGACATCTGAAAATGTTTAAATATACATCATGAGCTGGAAATAGCAAAATAATAACAAAGAAAAATTATAAAACAGTAACTCATACAGTCGTACATAAAAGTTTGAACACTCCTGGTCAAATTTTATGTTTTGTTGATTTTCTAAGTGAAAGGAACAAACTTAAACATGGCACTTCAGTACACAGTTTCTAGAAAGAATAAAACATAAACCCAATGAACCTCGATATTTGTAATTGAGCAAATAAACAGTAATTGTCCACTAAAATGAATGTGTTAGATATTTGTATTTTAATTGAAGTCGGATTAAAGCTTGTCTTAAAATAAAGCCTAAAAGATGTTTGTCGGTATCACCACCATTCATTCTGTGGTGGAAATGACATATTAACAGTTTTTAGTATTGTCAAAATCTCTTATCATTCTAAGGCTAATCAATAGCTAGCATATAGTGTATCCTAAAAGCACACAATGATTCTTTTTTTAATGTTGTGACATAATTTTACATAATTTTAAAATTAAAAAACAAGTGATGAAGACATTTTAAAAAGTATCCAGTACTGTCTTAATGTGACCCATATGGAAGAGAAATATATGTATATATTTTATCAGATTAAATATGTATGTGCAACATAATTGATATTTTAAAAAATATACACTGATCAGCCATAGCATTAAAACCACCTCCATGCTTAAGCATTTATTGTCTGTTTTATCAGCTCCACTTACCATTTAGGTTCACTTCATAGTTCTACATTTACAGGCTGTAGTCCATCTGTTTCTCTGCATGCTTTGTTTAGCCCCCTTTTACGCTGTTCTTCAATGATCAGGACCCCCACAGGACCACCACAGAGCAGGTATTATATGGGTGATGGATCATTCTCAGTGCTGCGGTGACACTGATGTGCAGTGACACTGTGTCAACTCACTGTCCACTCCATAAGACACACCTACCCTGTTGGCCCACCATATAAATGTAAAGTTACAGACTGTAGCTCATCTGTTGCCGACGCTGCCCACAGGACACTGTTGGCTGTACATTTTTGGTTAGTGGACTATTCTCAGTCCAGCAGTGACACAGCAGTGCTGAGAATGATCCACCATCCACACAATACCTGCTGTGTCGTGGTCCTGGCCATTGAAGAACAGTGTGAAAGGGGGCTAACATAGTATACAGAGAAACAGATGGACTACAGTCTGTAATTGAAACACTACAATTACAGACTGCAGTATTGTTAAGTGGAGCAAATGAAAGGTACAAAGAGTGTAGAAACAAGGAGGTGTACTCAATGAAGTGGTCGATGTACATGTGCAATATGATGGATGTTTTAAATATTTGCCAATATATGCAAATATATGTCAATATATTAAAATATATACTGTTTTAGTGTTCAACACATCTGGGTCAAAACTTTGATGTCCCTGAAGGCCTTTACTGACCATGTTAGATTTAGATTTAGATTAAACAGAACATCAGTGCCAGGGTTGTGCTCACCTGCTATGATAGACAGAAGCTGTGTGTAGGTAACACTTACCAGAGTGACCCAGCTGTGGCAGCAGAGCAGCCAGAAGGAGCAGAGAGATGAGAGCCATGGTGCTGTAGTGAGAATATAGTGGGTGAGATTATATGTAGCATGGTGGGTGAGGTAAGTTCACCACAAGTGGACCCTGTTCTCACATCAAGCAGCAAGTGCTCCTCCTCAAAAACCCTGCTTTTCCTGTTTATCATATAGTGGTTTATTTTCACAGAGATCATATCTGTAACAGACGGCATGTCTGATGTCAGCAAGCTGATGGATCTGACCCCTGGCCTGTGTTAGGCTCTATGAAATGCTTGTTTTCAAATTCTAGAGTCAGAAATAACAGAATAGATAACTCATTTCATTTGTGGATTAATGATTAATCATTAATTAATTAAGTTATTTGTAGGGTTAATGACAACTTACAATTCCTAATTTACAGTCCCACCAAAATACTGAAATTCTAACGTCTTACTCATAACTGAAAACTCTGTCACTACATATTATGTTTTACTTCAGTTTGAAATAGTCAATTTTATCATCCAGACCACCAGACAATCATTCCACCAGCTGTGGTTGTCTTATACCTTTGTAACATGCAAAAAAGCACTTCTAGTTGTCTATAATGTGCCATTTTGTTCTGTTCTCACATGATATTAGTCATTTTAAAGGCCCTTCAGTGCTCCAAAGCTGTCAAGTCCACATTCTCAAAAGAAATTTAGTTTCACAAAATTCTGGTGTGCTTCGCAGTGTCATTGCAGTAACAGCCCAATAAACACAGAATGAACTGCTCAGTATCTCTAGTGACAGAAGCAATACTTCACAAGGAGCTTGACTAAAGCCTGAGCTAATGCACTAACTACAACTAGCCATATGACAAACAAGGCAGGTGAATCAGATCAGTATTGGCTGTGGATGTGACAGTCATGTGATCTCCCAGGGATTTTGGGAAGTGGAGTTTGCTGAAGAGTGAGGTCTGGAGGAATGCGTGACATTAAACATATGGCAAGATTCATTTTTGGTGTTTGAGAGATGACCTGACTTGTGACCAAAATATTCTGTGCAGTTATTTGGTGCATAAATAAATAACAGAAAGTTGCCCAGAGTCAACAGTTAAGGTGCATCAAACCATACTTGCTCTTGGCAAACAGTAAAATCTTTGAGAACCTGTTCGTGGGCAACACATTTCATTCATAATTAATTGTGATGACATTTGTTTGATTCTGAAACTTACAAAAGGTTTTGAGCCGTCACAGATTTCTGTGTTGTTTTATACACAAAATACTGCTTATGTTAGTTATTTTTGCCATGTGTAGCATGTCTAGACTTTTTTTTTGTATAAATGGGCAGAGTATGGTGACTTCAGATACTTAGATGACAGTTGACTAGCTTTCTGATTCTGGTCTACTATTTGCTGCATTTTGGCATATTCACATACATTGACCAGCCTAGGAAAAAAGTTTGTGGTGGGGTGAGTGTGGGGCGGTTTGAGGCGTAAGATCTTCAGAACAGATAGCAATGTGTAAAGAACTTGCTAAAATATTTCAACATTAACCTGATACACACAAACCCATGAGATTATGCCTGATATTAGCAAATACAATTTTTAAGTATTTAGCAGTTACTACAAACACAGGCCTGTATGATATGGAGAACACTGGTCGAATGAGAAAAGCATATGAGATAAGCTAGTTGGCTGTGTCTGATGTTCATGTTCAAGGTTCAAGGTTCATGTTCATCACTGTTGACCCCAAAGAGCCTTGCAGGATGATTGTCTAAAAAAACCTACATAGTTAAAGTAACGTTTGCTTAAATTTCCCTGACCTGTGATATTATTCTGTCATTTTAAGCTAAAACATGGTCATTTTTGGCTAAAAAGTCTTTGGTAGTGTCCTTCAGTGCCTTGCAAAGCAGCTAGCCTAACAAGAGCAAACTTCAGTAGCAGTAGAGTGGGATGCTCTGGAGCAGCTGCACATGAGCCCAATGCCACCATGGCCAAAGTCAGTTGTCGGCTATGGGGTATAAAGTCCCTCAGCATTGGGCTGTGGAGCAGTAGACTGCGTTCTCTGGAGTGATGGTGCTCCATCCATTAACTCTGGGATGAGCTGGAGTGATCCAGAACTAATCATCCAACATCAGTACCTCACTTGACTAATGCTCTTCTGTCAGGTTGCAATCAGATTCTCACAGCAATGTTCCAACATCTAGTGTAAAGCCTTCCCATAAGAGTAGAGGGTGTTATCGCAGAAAAGGGGGACAAACTTCTTAGTAAAACCTTTGATTTCGGAAGAAACACTGGAAGAGCAAATGTCTACAAACTTCTGGATGCTAGTAACATTTCTGTGGAAGTCACAGCTGTCAAGGTATAAGAGAAAGAGAAACTAAAGCTGTGTTTAATCTTGCAACACCAATGGTGAATCACCTTTGAATATTCTCTTTAGTCTAGGTTTAAGCTTAATCTGTCTCTCTACAACGGACCATATATGTTTTAGTGCAGGTTTACCAGCCAGGGATTAAGCCTACACACCATTTTGAGTGGATATTCTCCACTGAAACCAAAACGTAGTCCAGGACTAAGCTTAATCTCTATCTAAGATACTGACCCCTCAGGTTTTCAGTGGGGTCTAGGTAACAGGACAGGGACAGGGGACTGTAAAAACGTGATTCTGTAATCAGTGAAATGTTTTGTTTTGTTTTTTTAACATCCCTTTGTTCATTGGTCTACTGAAAGATACTTTGCATTTGTTAGAGATGACTTGTATTAATGCGCAATTTCTATTTATTTACTGATTTTAATAAAACATAAAGCAATAAATGTGCCATAATTTTTGCACAGGCCACATTTTATGCTTAATTGTTTATCCAGTATGATCAGTTCAGCAAATAAACAGTAACTGTGCATTAAACTGTGCAGAAGTGTGTTCTCTATGGAGTATGTTAACTTACTTAGAAAATCAACAAAACATGTCATTTGGCCTGATGTGGCCAAAGTTTTACATACAACGGTATATATGCATGTGATATGTTGGGTCTGAGAGAGGCCTGAGAGTTTCAAGTGACTAATTCGATATAAATCAAGTGTAAAGGTAATAAATTACTGTGTGAACTAAGAATTCATTAATGAAAAGTCTCTGAAGGTAACTGGATCCTTGTTTTCCAGGGCAGAAGTTCAGTGTAATTGAAGGAAGAAAAATGCATGTTAAAATAGACTAAATAAAGAAATGAATGAATAAATCAATCAATCAATCTATCAATCAATCAATCTTCCTCAATGTGCAGAGCATGCAACCAGTCAAACCCACCACACTCAGTTCCATGAATATATATATTCAAGATGTTATTGTGAAACCGACTGAGGGCAGTGGTAACTGTCAGTCAACTGCAATGACTCAAGGACAATTTAATTGTGATTTGCAAATTTTTTTTATTTATTTTTTATAATGACATGATAAAGCACAGCTCAAATAAAAAAAAAGCAAAAGAAAAAAATTAGGGAATGCAAAAAGAAAACATTTTGTTTATTGATTGTTTCATTGTGTCATTGATGATTTCCTTGATCCAGGGAAGAAATTGCGATATCTTCGTGTAGACGTTTGGCACTGTCGGTTTGTCACAGTTCCCACTTTCATGGAAAGACATGATGCCGACTGCGATATTATTACACACCAAAGGACCTCCGGCACCTCCCTGTAAAAACACCTATGTTAGTACATTGATTAACTGACCCCTCATTAAGCTGCTGTAAAGCACATTAGATAGCTTTTATAGCTACAGCGAGAGAGAGAGAGAGAGAGAAAGAGAGAGAGAGAGAGATTTGGCACTTTACCCTACAAAATCCACGGCCGGAACCTGCGCACAGCATACTTGATTCTGAGAAATATTGTCCCCAGTCACTTTTGCATTTTTTTGTTTCTATGACGCTGACGTCTGCCTCCAGAAGACGGGAACTTGAAGGGCCTTCAGATGAATTTTTTCCCCAACCAGCTATGCTGCAAATAGTATTGGCCTCGACATCCTTATTTGTTTTGGGGATGGAGATCCACTCAACAGTTTTGCTCCTTTGGGCTGGTTTTTCAAGCTGAAACAAGATCACAATTATTAAATAATGAAGTGAATAGATGCTACACTTCTCACAGAATGACAGACCCAAGTACAAACATGAATGAGGGGGACTGATTGTCAGTCTGTTTACCTCCAGGAGCATGATGTCATTGTAAAGACGCCTGTAACCAGGATAGACATGGTAGAACTTCACTGGTATGCGGTAATAGTTACAGTTGTCCAGATCATGAGCACCAATCACCACTGTCAGATTCATCCCACTGTTAAGAGGAATCAAATGATAGAAACTTGATGACTTTTGTTTTGTACTGAAGTATACAAATTCTTTAATTATGCTGTTCTGAAACATCATCTCCTGCTGATTTATATATTTATTAATATGTTCTCATCATGGACCCAAAATACTACTAGCATTAAAACTATGAAGCAGAAGTTAGTTTCTTATTCTCCAGTTTTATTTTTCCATTCCATCTTAAATGGTGCAGAAGTATTATAGTACCTCTGGCATTAGAATGTAACTGCTGCATCATTTAAGGTGGAACAGGAAAATTCAAAGAAGAAGCTGGCAAATGTCCTTATCAGAAAATGTTATCAAGGGGTAAGCAGTAATAGTAAACTGAGTCTGTATTGAACTAACATTATTAAAATTTGCAAAAGAGTTGCAAAGCTGTAGTAATGATATAGGATAAATTGTTAGTATACAGGCTACGGCAGTTGGATCACTTTGTGGTTTGCCTGCCTTCTTTGACCAGAAGAGTATTAAAAGAGGTGAAAACCACTGTCAGTCTGGTCATGTTGAGCAGTGTTGCCTGAGTGCAGGTCAGCTTGTAGGGCTAATTTACCTTACTATTAATTAGTCTGATGACGTAGATTTAGTGCACAGTAGCATGAGCTTACATGTAGCGATATTCCTATACTAACCTCTAGGTAATCATCAATTTTCAAAATTGACAAGCTTACCAGCTCTGTGTCAGATATTTCTCAGTGGATGTCACAATTTTAATTAGAAATAAAAAAAAAACCTAAAGAGAAAATACTAAAATACTGATTTATTATTACAATAAATAATAACAAGAAGCTGTTTTTGTGTCACATACCAAGCGTGAAAATGAAACCTGGCCATATCCTTAGACATGGAGCTCTGTTTTATTCCGTAAACACAATCACTAAATTTGAGAAATATTGATAACATTCAGCCTTTTCTACCTCAGAGCGATGCAGAGAAACCTGTTCATGCATTTGTCACAATCTGATTACTGTAAAGCTCTTTTTACTAGGTTTCCTTACAAAACAACACATCCTGTATAACTACCAAGCACAGCTACCTAACTACCTAACAAAAACAAAAAAGAGCTTATATTACACTCATTTAGAAACAACTGCACTGGCTGCTTTTAAAGGTCTTTTACTAGTTTTTAAAGCTCTAAATGGCCTTAAAGCACCTGCGTACCTCACAGAACGTCTGTTCATGTTCCAGCATGTAATCTTAGATCTGCAAAATCTGGCCTTCTGCAAATACCTTCCATGGAATATAGACAACGTGGCGAGACTTTTTCTGTTACTGGGCTTCTAATGTGTGGAATTCCATCTTTTATTAGGCAGTGATGCTCAGTAAACTTTGAAGAAACATTTGAAAATGTATCTCTAATTTAGCTTTTAATTAAAATTTATACTCTTAACTTTCATTTATTTATTTATTTTTCCCAAAATTGCCATTGTAGAACATCATCTATAATAGAAGAAAATCAAACTCAACTTTAATATCTTCTATTACTCTTAAAGTTTAACCTCTGTCTGTAAAGCACTTTGAGCTGCCACCAGTATCCGGTATGAAAAGCGCTCTATAAACAAAGTTGTTGTCGTTGTTGTTATTATTATTATTATTATTAGTAGTAGTAGTAGTAGTAGTAAGTTCATGTTTCATGTTGTGTGTTGAATTTTATTTTCAATTTTATTTTGTTATCAGGCACTGAGTTCAGCATGAAATATTCAGTGACACTGGATGATTTTGTCAATTTTCGTATTTGTGTAAAAGTATGTCATCAAGTAAGCAAAAGCTTGTGTTACGCCATCATGTTACAGCTGGTGCTGGTGAGACTTTATTTTGATTGGTCCTTTTTAGATGAAACAAACACTCAACAGACTCTCAATAACATCAACAACATATCAGTGATGTAGCAGCAGTGAATACATTCAGACTTTCAAGATTTTAATGAACTGCATGAATAAAATTTGCTCATTATCTGCTCATTGATGGCTTCAAGATTTTTAACTCTGTGAATTCAGATGCTGCACAACTGCTATTTCAGTGATATGTTGATGTGTTACTGACACTCCTTCAAGAGTTTATTAATCATCTACAAAGGACCACCCAAAATAAAGTGCTACCCTGTTGCACAGTGACTTTTTTCATGGTTTTCATTTTTCATGGCCATGGCAGTAACGCAGATGCATTTCCTGTCTTTGTAGCCCTCTTTCCAGCTGTTTGATGCTTATCTGGTCAGTCCAATGGTGATCCCTTTCCACTGATAGATGTAGTAGATTGACTAATAAATAGTCCCTCGACAGATGAGCTAGTCATTGTAAACCTACAAAGAGCATCTATATGGTAGATGTTTCTGATAAAATGGCCAGCAAGTGTACTAAACAGGTGTACCTAATAAACCTCAGTATATAAGCCGAGGCTATTTCTGCTCAAACCTGTCTCTGTTTGAGATAAATATGATTTCATTATTCTGTGATCACTAAAGAATCATTGTGTAAGTGTAGCGTACTTTTCCTCAGTGTTACAGATCACATGATCACAAGGATAAAGATCATTCTTAGAGCTAAAACACAGTGAGAAAACATTGGGTTGAAGAAAAGAGAGGAAAAAAACAGCTTACTTGTTCCAGCAGTGCGCAGCCGACATGACAAAGGATTCAGACACAAGAAAGCCACCACAGTGGTGTTTCCCATTTTCCTGAAGAGAAACCATGTAGGGTCTGGAGTGAGGTTCAGCCTCTGTGCCATTCACTATGCCAACACTAACGCTGGCTGAGAGAGAAAGAGTGAAGCCAACCTGGTTAGAATTAGACTAAAATGAATGTAACTGCCTTGTTTCTGCACTAGACATCTCAAAAGCAAAATTAAATGATATACATTATTTCATATTTGAAAATGAATACCTGACACAAATGAAACATCATAAGATACAGGAGGAGGAGGCCTGGAGTGAGAGGATACATACCAGAATGGCTCAGACATGGCAGCAGAGCAGCGAACAGAAGCAGGCAGGTGAACACCATGGAGCAGAGCAGAGCGAGTGAGTTCTGCTCAGAGAGAAAGAGGAGTTTAAGTAGTGCAGTGCATCAGTCTCGATCACTCTGCATTTCCTTTTACAAAAATGCCCTTAACTGCACACAGTACTGTGCAAAAGTCACAGGACACATGTCATTGTTTAATTTCCTCTCAAGCTATTCATTTTTAAACATCAAGACAAAGGATATTTTTAAACTCATATATTTAACAGAAAATTACACAACTTAATATAACAACTAAATATTATATCAAAGTTTCATGTCCATGCGTTGTCTTCACTACAGCTTTTATTACTACTTTTATTTCAGACTTATAGTGCTGAGTTGTCTTCTTACAGTGTAAGGATGGACAGAAATACGTGTGGATCTTTTCAGATCTGAAGTAAGAATGGAGCTTGATTTTCTCCTCTCTCTCAAAGATGAAAGGTAAGTACTTTTTATCTGTTGGTGACAGTTGTGGTGGTCTACTTTTTCTCTGTATCTGTTAATTGTAACTCCAGTTTTTTCACTATATTTTTGCTTAAGAAGCCCAAGCTAGAATTTCTTAATATGAATCACTGTGTTGCAAGTATATTAGATATACATACCTTGTCCCTACAATCACTGGCCATTTTATCAGAAGCACAGGTGCATTTTATAGATTTACAGTAACTGACTGTAGCCAATCAGTTGCCACACAATTTATCAGCACCCCCACCCCTCAATCTTGTCCATTAATGGAAAGAGTAGTAGTACCACCGCAGACCAGAAATTATTTGAATCATGGATGATTATCAGCACAGCACATGGTAGTAAACCACTTAGTAGATGTGTCCAGATATAGACCATTTGTTGAAGATGCGATATTTACCAAGTGTTTTAATTTGCCATATGAACTGCTTTAGCCGATGCTGTACAAATATTAATGCATAGTTGGTAATATTACTAGAAAGGCTAAGAGTAAGGCAGGTCAAGAGTAACTGCTCCACTACCAACTGTGTTGGTACCCTCTGTACCACATAACTGTACCATATTCTGCTCCAGTTATATATTTATAGTAAGTCCAAACACCCTCTCCTAACTCCACACTTTTTATTTTTATAGGTACACAAGGTACAAATATGCACATTTCCCCAGAGTAAGTGAGTGTAGTGTACCTTTAAAACTTATTTAGGTACACAATGAGGCCTTGAGGCAGGCCCAGCCACAGGGAGTCATGTAGTGCCCCACCAACTAATCATCACGGCCCCCTGCTTTTTATACATGCTTCTATAGCTGCAGGAAGAAAAAAAAGAACAAACTGAACCTCATGTGTGCTACTCTTCTTGCTGCGTGTGCCTAATATAAAAGGCTACATCAGTTAACATGGGAGGATTTGAATGAGTCACTCTGTGTTGGCTGCATTACAGGAATGTGGTTTATGTTGTGGGAAGATAAATGAGTAGATTTTCTGAATGAGTGGACCTTTGGTGATCTGCTGTTGATTGTTTGTTTGCAGTGGTGAATCATGACAGTTAGAGCAAGGCCTTCAACATAAGTTGAAAATAGTACAAAGACAACATATCAAATGTTGAAACTGAGAAATTTTATTGTTTTTTGAAAAATATATGCCCATTTTGAATTTGATGCCAACAAATGTTCCAAAAAAGTTGGGACGGGGGCATGTTTACCACTGTGTTTCATCACCTCTTCTTTTAACAGCACTCTGTAAGCGTTTGGGAACTGAGGAGACACTGCTGCATTTCTGAAAGTGAAATGTTTTTCCATTCTTGTTTGATACGGGATTTCAGCTGCCCAACAGTTCGGGGTCTCCTTTGTCGTATTTTTCATTTCATAATGTGCCAAATGTTTTCAGTGGTGACAGGTCTGGGCTGCAGGCAGGCCAGTTTAACACCCAGACTTTTTTAATACGGAGCCATGCTGTTGTAATACATGCAGAATGTGGTTTGGCACTGTCTTGCTGAAATAAGCAAGGCCTTCCCTGAAAAAAAGGTCAGCTGGATGGTGGCCAAAACATGTATATATCGTTGAGCATTAATGGTGTCATCACAGAGGTCCATGTCACCCATGCCATGTGCACTAATGCCCTCCTATACCATCATGAATACTGGCTTTTGAACTGTGCACTGATGACAAGCTGAGTGGTCTTTAGCTGGGAGGATACGGTGTCCATGATTTCCAAAAAGAATTTTTGATTCATCGCACCACAGGACACTTTTCCGCTTCCCCTCTACTTTAAATGAGCTCAGGCCCAGAGAAGGTGGCAGCATTGCTGAATCCTGTTTATATTTGGTTTCTTCTTGGCATTTTAGAGTTTTAACTTGCATTTGTGGATGCAGTGATGAACTGTGTTCACAGACAGTAGCTTTCAGAAGTGTTACTCAGCCCATGCAGTGATTTCCACTACAGAATCATGTCTGTTTTTAATGCAGTGCCACCTGAGGGCCCAAAGATGGTGGCCAGCAAATACTGGTTTTTGGTCTTGTCCCTTGCATACAGATATTTTTCCAGATTCTCTGAATCTTTTAATGTTATTATGTACCGTAGATGATGAAAAGCAAAAGTTCTTTGCTATTTTACGTTGAGAAACGTTATTCTTGAATTGTTGCACTATTTGACCGTGTAGTCTTTCACAGAGTGGTGAACCCCTCCTCATCTTTACTTCTGAAAGACTCAGCCTCTCTGGATGATCTTTTATACCCAATCATGTTACTGACCTGTTGTCAATCAACTACCAGGTGTTTTTTTTTAGCATTACACAACTTTATCAGCTTTTTGTTGCCTCGTCCCAACTTTTTTGGATCGTGTTGTTGTTATTGAATTCAAAATGTGCATATATTTTTCAAAAAACAATAAAATTTCTCAGTTTCAACATTTGATATGAAAGTTTCAGAATTTCAATGGATTATTATGTTCCCTGACTGAAGATACTGAGATGTACCCTTGAGGGTACCACCCCAGTGACAAGGGTTACAGCCCCAATAACAGTTTCACACCTTTATTTCTGAGAGTGTCTGTAGATCACAGTGTTCAGAAATCTTCTTTGATTTAGTTGAGAAGTTGAAACTGTAATGAGAGGAATCAGGAGATGCTTCTTATACTGTTAATGTTTTGTACCACCAGTTCTTATTTGTGGGCATGATAATGGATGAACAGAGCATATTTCCACTGTGATCGTAAGTGCATTAACACCTCCGTGTTGCCCACTCACACAGCTTACATGATCATACACTTGGCAACAAGGTGTAGGTGCTCTTCTTACAAATGCTGCTGTAGCTTCAGCATTTCTGCATGCACGAAATGTCATTGTGTCATCCATCTGTACTGCTATGTTTATCTCACCATCAATCTGACTTTGCATCACTTCTGCACTGCTAGCTGTGATGTGGTTTTGTCACGTGCTACACATACTCGAATGAGTGTGACATTTATCAGATTAATCAAAAAGCTTAACTGATCGAAATACAAGAAGGTTGAATTTCAAACTGGACATTTTTAGAACCAGTATGCTGCTGTGTCACTCTGGATTAGGCTTCTAAATCCAGAAATCTACCTGTTAGTCAAAGGTTGTTTAGGGAACCACTTGGTGGGGCTTGTTTGAATGGCCTGCTTCATTTTAGCACTTCAATGAGGTTGAAAACAGGACTCTGACTTGGCAATTACAGATTATGCAATTACTTGGTTCTGAACACAGAGACTAACCATTCTAATGGCAAAGTGTTCTCTTACAAACTGTGTCCAGCATGGTTTTCTCACAGTTCCGTTCAGTGCTGCAAAATGGTTTGGGGGGCTGCCATTACGCTGTCGAATTTCCCAATACAGCTTGTAATTCACAATTCAATGACTGTGCTGTTCCTGATGCAGTAAAGCAACCTCATGCTGCTATAGTCCCTCCACCATGCTTCACAGTTTGGAGGAGGCTTTGGTGCTGCTTCAGAGGGCTTTGTGTTCTCTCCAACAACTCACTCAACAGATTTGAGATGAAATGGAATGCAGGCCTCATCACCCAGCATCTGTACCAGACTTCACTAATGTTCTTATAGCTGATGGAACTATGGAACTGGATCCCTGCAGCAGTGTTCCATAATCTAGTGTGAACCTTGACACGACAGTAAAGGCTGTTACTGCATGGAAGGTGGGACAAACTCCAACTTCATCATTTTTGGCACTATGTTTTTGGGAACTCTTAAGGTGTATCAGAATCAGGCTTTATTTACCAAATTTGTTTGCACATACAGGGAAAATGAATTCGTGTAGCAAACGTGGAATTCAAGCCAGCTCGGGTGGCGTTAAAGCAAAAGGGGAAATTCTAAAATTCATGTTCAAACCTGGTAAGACTCTAATTTTCAGGCAAATTCTGTTATGCTGGAAATATAATTTGTAAGAAAAAAGAACTATATTAAATTTTTGTACCCCTAAATACCTGCCCCTTTATGAGACACTATATTGCCAAAAGTATTCGCTCGTCTGCCTTCACACGCATATGAACTTGAGTGACATCACATTCTTAATCCATAGGGTTTAATATGATGTCGGCCCACCCTTTGCAGCTATAACAGCTTCAACTCTTCTGGGAAGGCTTTCCACAAGGTTTAGGAGTGTGTTTATGGGAATGTTGGACCATTCTTCCAGAAGCGCATTTGTGAGGTCAGACACTGATGTTAGACGAGAAGGCCTGGCTCACAGTCTCCGCTCTAATTCATGTTGGTGTTCTGTTGGGTTGAGGTCAGGACTCTGTGCAGGCCAGTCAAGTTCTTCCACACCAAACTCGCTCATCCATGTCTTTATGGACCTTTGTGCACTGGTGTGTAGTCATGTTGGAACAGGAAGGGGCCATCCCCAAACTGTTCCCACAAAGTTGGGAGCATGAAATTGTCCAAAATCTCTTGGTCTGCTGAAGCATAAGAGTTCCTTACACTGGAACTAAGGGGCCGAGCTCAACTCCTGAAAAACAACCCCACACCATAATCCCCCCTCCACCAAACTTTACACTTGGCACAATGCAGTCAGACAAGTACCGTTCTCCTGGCAACCACCAAACCCTGACTCGTCCATCAGATTGCCAGACGGAGAAGCGTGATTTGTCACTCCAGAGAACACGTCTCCACTGCTCCAGAAACCAGTGGCGGCGTGCTTTACACCACTGCATTTGATGCTTTGCATTACGCTTGGTGATGTAAGGCTTGGATGCAGCTGCTCAGCCATGGAAACCCATTCCATGAAGCTCTCTACGCTGTTCTTGGGCTAATCTGAAGGCCACATGAAGTTTGAAGGTCTGTAGCAATTGACTCTGCAGAAAGTTGGCGACCTCTGCGCACTATGCCCCTCAGCATCCCCGGCCCCACTCTCATTTTACGTGGCCGACCACTTCGTGGCTGAGTTGCTGTCGTTCCCAATCGCTTCCACTTTGTTATGATACCACTGACAGTTGACTGTGGAATATTTAGTAGCAAGGAAATTTAATGACTGGACTTGCTGCACAGGTGGCGTCCTATCACGGTACCACGCTGGGATTCACTGAGCTCCTGAGAGCAACCCATTCTTTCACAAATGTTTGTAGAAGCAGTCTGCATGCCTAGGTGCTTGATTTTATACACCTGTGGCCATGGAAGTGATTGGAACACCTGAATTCAATGATTTGGATGGGTGAGTGAATACTTCTGGCAATATAGTGTATGTTGAATAAATTG